CCCCCCCCCCCCCCATAAAAAGGTATTGAGCAAAGAAAGTTCAGTTTTAAACTCTATAATAACGCTGAGCCGGCGATTTAAAAATTTTAGAAAATACGACTCAGGTCTAAGCTGTCGTTTGGCCTTATTTACGGCTTGAGCTTTTAAACGCTCACCGCAGCATCTTATTTTCCACGGAGTTGAGTTTAAAAAACCGGTCTATTCGGGGGATTTTCATTGGAGAAATTGGCGCATTCCGGGGTTTTATGAGAACAAGACTTTACATCGAACCAAGGTCGGTTTTATTTTCATTGGGCCAAACTCCTAAGTTGATCTTAAGATCTTGCAGCTGTCAATCACGTGACACAAGCTGTGACCTGTCATCAGAGTTGAGTATAAAATTGGGTTTAAGGAATTACGACCCGAGCCAAAGCTTTAAAATCGCGGGCTCTGTTAAGACATATATTTTCAAGTTAATTTTTCATAATGTGATAATAATTTAAATTGAATAGATCCTGAGATCCAGTTTGTCTCATGAAGCAAACTAGAACAAACTCTAGATCAATCAAAAACTTAAATGAAACTTTCCTTCAAAAGATAGAATCATCTTTCCTCTCCTCCTTTAGAAAATAATCAAATTTAAAAAACTTCTGAGTTAACAATTTATTTAAAAGCTATACAAGAAGTATAGGGTGAATAGAAATACTAGGAGTGTAGAAGGAATAGGAATACTAGGAGTGTGGGAGGAATAAAATACTAGGAGTGTGGGAGGAATAGGAATACTAGGAGTGTGGGAGGAAAAGGAATAATAGGAGTGTGGGAGGAATAGGAATACTAGGAGTGTAGGAGAAATAGGAATACTAGAAGTGTGGGAGGAATAGGAATACTAGGAGTGTGGGAGGAATAGGAATACTAGGAGTGTGGGAGGAAAAGGAATGCTATGAGTATGGGTGAATACGAATACTAGGAGTGTAGAAGGAGTAGGAATACTGGGAGTATAGAAGGAATAGGAATACTAGGAGTGTAGAAGGAATAGGAATACTAGGAGTGTGGGAGGAATAGGAATACTAGGAGTGTAGGAGGAATAGGAATACTAGGAGTGTAAGAGGAATAGGAATACTAGGAGTGTAGGAGGAATAGGAATACTAGGAGTGTAGAAGGAATAGGAATACTAGGAGTGTAGGAGGAATAGGAATACTGGGAGTGTAGAAGGAATAGGAATACTAAGAATGTGGGAGGAATATCTTTAAAATCTGTTAAGAAGGAAGTTAAATCTCCGATCACAAACTGACGATGAGACAGAGTTGCCCGAAAAGAATTCAATGACGATTGAGGGACGAGGGTATTTTAAGTGTTTTGGTATTTTTTTATTAATAACGAAGGGACTCATTTGTCCTTTAAGTGACCTAAGAAAAAACGAGTTAACCAACCAATCAGCACCCCCATTAGATAATGAAATGCAGTCTCATGCTGGTTGAGTAATGAAGTCCAGGCAATTACCCCAGCCCGCCTAGTCCTGTGAGAGGTAAAGTCCAGTATGTAAGAATTAAGATCACAGCTGCAAAGAACCATAATCATGAAAATACAGACCACGGGGGATGATTGTTTTCTACCTGTTGTCTAGTTCAGGATTTGCGTATAGTATCCACTCTAGACACTTTAAACCGAATATAGTTTGTACTGTAATCCAAAAAACCTATCCATACTGGGAACCCTGTATGTTATGCACCATGATGTCGTCTTGAATTCATTCTTGACGTAATTTCAAGTCTTCCAAGTGTACTTTTAATTTAATTCGATGTCCTTTGTCAGATCAAGAATGTACGAGATATGCGAAATTATCTGTTAGAAAATTGATTTCCATAAATAGTGGTTACTCTCTGGTGTCTTGCGGATTGCTGCCTCAGGAAATTGTTAGAATTTAACACTTCTTCAGCTAGGAAACAACGATATCTTCCACATAACTGATGAAGGGTACCGTTGTGAATGCCCTTCTTGAAATGGAAGGTCATTTTAAATTGCAAGGAAAGTCCCTTTTTACAACGTCATATTCGTTTCATTGTTGTTACTATACATATCGCAAAATGTATACGCGCACTGAATTTCTTATGGATATACTTCTATATATATATATTTTGCTTGTCTGTCCGTCCGTTTGTATCCAATAAACGTCAAAAAGGGATGATAAACCGATCGCGCCCAAACTAGGGAAGGTTCATGGATGCTCAAAGTTACAACAAATATTCTCTAAAATATTTAGATTTTTGTAGAATAAAAAATCCACGAAAAAATATTATTAAATCCGCGATTTTTGTGTATTGTTGAATTAGGAGATGAGTGCCCTGAAAGCCTTTTTAGAATATTTATCTAACATGAGTTGAACCAAACTAACTAAATAAATAAATGAAGAATAATTCTGAATGTATTTAATTGAAATATTGAACAAATTGACTAAATATATATAGATAGATAGATAGTTGGAGAACACAGTACACAATATTATAAAAGGATGAAGCGCCGTCTACTCTCACCAAATCTGAGCCCGGCAGGACAAAATAAACATTGACAACTATCAATTTGTTGTTTAAAAATCGAAATTTTGGTCCCAACTAGGTGGCTCAGGAAAGATTTTAGATATTCCCTTAAATGCTTTTTAACATATGGGAGGCTTGCCTTAAAGTTAACAAGTTAACAGGTACATGAAAAACCAGATTTTAGATATAATTTTACTCTCAAAAATATTTGTAAAATGACAACCAAAGGGACCAATTCATTTAATTAAATTAATAAAATTTTTACTTTTTGTTTAAAATATTCATACATCGGTACAGGCGAGAAACCAAAACTTAAGAATATTGCGAGTTAAACGAGTGCTGAAAAGAAAACCTCAATCAACCAAAAAAAAAACTTTATCGTAGTTATCAGCTATTTAGTAATTTTCTTGCGCCCGAGTTTATTCTGAAGAAAAGATTGCTCGGCCTGGAGATTTCCGGTTCCAAGCGCTCGCGCCATCTTCGCGGCAGGGATTTCAAGCTTGGCGCTACTTTCACTTCGCTCACGCTTCTTCCCGCGATCATTAGACCTAGATACAAAATCATTGTTAGCTGGTGATGAGATTAATTTCAGCTAGACATGTATTTACAAGTTTTCTCATAGATCTTTATTCTTAGTTATTAAACGACAGCTTGGCATTCGATGGGCAACGCGGCATTCGATGAGCAACGTGGTCTACGAACCCAGGTTAAAGAATATCACCCAAAACACTTTTTGTTGTAATTAAAAACACATCTTTCGAATTGATTGATAAAGATTATAAATTTTTCCCAGATCTTAATATAGGTCAATCAACTTCTAGATAAAAACAACGAAAAAGATTTCGGATATTTAGCTTTCGTAGAAAAAAATAGGGAAAAATTAAAAACTTGTTTTTTTAAAGAACGAATCCAGGATTTGGGTCCAAACGGTATTTACAAGCTTAACGGGTTGTAAAAGAAATGGCTCACAATTTTTGAAAATTCACAAAACAAAACTCGACTTGGGAAAAAAGTTACAAAACTAGAATCTTAAGACTCCTTTGGTCTAATAGGGCTCGAATAGTCGATTCAAAATAGCGAACACATTCCTGAAAATTGCGATTATTTTGAAAAATTGATGTTTTAAAGACAAACAACGTGAGTTATATGACAAGACGTGTATGTCATTCTGCTTGTCCGTTACGATTTGTTTATTTCAAAACTTGGGGTATTATGTGTCTTGTGTATTTTCAATAAAGAATTACCGATGAGATTTCAGAATAAATAATGAATTTATAATCAATCCCTTTTCAAGAATTCTATAATTCTTGTCTCAAAAGATCGTTATTTTTCTTAGAATTTTAAGTTGTCATTTAAGTCTGATCCTTTGTGGATAACCTTTACAGTGCATTTAATAACTATCCGATTTGACATAATGCTGACCCAACAATTGGTAACTACTCCCCGCCAAGCTAAAATTACTGAACAATCCCTTTAAATAAAACAAAGTTTACTCACTCTACTGCCGGTGTTCCGCCGAGTTTTATCTTGAGTTTGATTGGATTCTCTCTAGTTGGTGAACCCGAGGGGGTGTGTCCTTTCAACACTAGTTTAGGGACCTTAGTTTGTCCTTCTTTGTCCTTTTCACGGTCCTTGTCCTTCTTATGCTTCTTATCCTTCCGCCTGTGTTCGTCCCTGCCCTCCTGATTATATATAAAGTTAGTATTATTCTCTAAGGGCGCATTGGAGCCCCCCCCCCCCACAAACCAGTTTTTTAATCCATCCATAACTCTCATTTTAACAAAATCACTTATGACTTTTTATGAATAGTAATGTAAAAAAAAATTATAATTTGAGCAACATAATAAATTCTACATTTCATAGAAGATCCATGAAATATGGATATTAGAAACTGCGTCACATGTTAAAAGTTATTGAAAAATATTTTAATATGTCATGATATCTTCAGAATTGAGGTTTATTGAAAGGACATTTTTTAGACGTCTCATTTCATCTATAAGAAAAATCTTGTACTCGCACATTTGAAACTTAATGGAACGGAACTTTTCTGGGAGAAAGAAAATGATTGACAAAAAAATTCTTGAGTAAAATTTAAATACAAAGTATATAAAAGATTAAGCTTTACCTTATCTCTATGTTTCTTCTCATCTCTCTCTTTTCCGTCATGTTTCTCTTTCTTTTCTTTCTTCTCTTTCTTTTCCTTTTTGTCTTTTTTCTCCTTCTTCTCCTTCTTGTGTTTATGATCTTTACTCTTCTTGTGTCGGTCCTCAGACTCTTGTTTAAGTTTGGTGTCAATAATCTGAACTGATTCTTCAGATCTCTTCTCCACAATTCCTTCAACTTTCAGTTCTCTTTTCTCCACCTTCTCTACAACCTTCTCCAGAACCTTCTCAACCTTCTCAGGTCTGTGGGAAGATGAAGATCTAGAAAAAATATTGTTTAAAATATCTATATCGGTAAATATATTTCTGAATGGCACAAGTCTGATGTAATTTTTATTATTCGTATCAATATATGTAAAGTTGTAATCTCTGTTTGCCTGTTTGTTTGTTTGTTCGATCATAACTTAGGAGCTCCTGGACCAATTTGCCTCAAATTTCAATAGGGATACTCGGGAGAACCACGGAAATGTTTTTGAGATTAAAAAATGAGTGGGTCGACTTTCATAGCGAATTTAATTTCACGGATAAATCGACCTAGTGCGGGTAAACGGCGGGATTAACTATCAGCAACCTGGAAAAATCCGGGTTCCAAAGCTAGTATTATATAAAATGGATTTCAACCAAATTCTTCATCATATACAAACACTAAGAATGTCAGATTGTGTGTGGTAAGATTTTGTAAACTGAAACTATCTAGCCTGGTTTAAAAGCGTGGTATACCTATGATGACTGTGACTGCTTGAGCTCCGTTTAGATTTATCTTCTGATTTACCGGACTCCGTCCTACCAGGCTTAACAGGACTAGACCTTTCAGGTTTAGGAGGACTCGGCTTCTCCGCCTCAACACGCGCAGGTTTCGGCGGACTAGGTCGCTCCGCCTCAAGACGGGGATATTTGGACGGGCTGGGTCGCTCCCCGTCATGTCTGCTGGGTTTGGGTGGACTGGGCTGACCGTTCTTATCTACAAGTATAGAGGCAGGAGTACTCGTCTTTTTCAGAGAATCTGTCAAGGTCTGGAACTCAGGAGCCATTGATTCAAGCTTCTGCACGTTCACCACAGCTTCTCCTTAATCATTATTTCTCCATCAATCTTTTTATGAAACTTTTGCAAATCTCAACAAGGTAAAATGTTTTAATTTCTATTTTTAATGGGACAATAAGCAACAATTTAACTACAGGGAAGTATGTCAGATTATCATCTGTACCCTTACAAGCATTTTAACTGTGATTTCTCAATATATGCGATTTAAGTATTTCTGCCGAAAAGGGAAATACAAAATCAGTATTAGACTATGGGCTTACGGCTAGAGTGGGAACGATCTCAATTTCTGTTTTTTAAATTTTTTTTATTTTGCGGCTATGGAAAAAGGGCTTTTTCTTGACTATTCTGAGAAAACACTTGATATCCCCAATCCCTATGTTGCTACCTGTGCTACTGCTACTGGTTGTTCTATTCCTTGCTGCAGAAAGGGCTGGAGACACGTGTTTAATTGGAGATTTAAGCTCTATTTTAGGCTCAGATTTAACCTAATAATTCACAAGATTAACATAAAAAAGGCAATAAGATATTTAATAAAATTTTAAATAAAAAATAAATGAACTCTTACCTTTTTCTCTGGGGAAGGGGAGGCGAACAGCCTTAAATGCTTTGATCTCGAGTCTTCGCTCTTAATCTTGGTTTCCTCCATCTGCTCCTCCTTCTCCTTCTTCTTCATTGGAGAGGAGGTCTTGGACACGAGGTTAGAGGAGGGGAAAGGGAGCTCAGGTTTACGCTGGGAGCTTGTATTGTAACGAGGATCTAGGAGACTTAATGTTGACGTATCTGGAAACAAGTCAGTGAAGTCACTCACTTCAGGGTCAAATAAAGACTTTGTGAGTTCCGACTCATGTTTCATGTCATTAAATCCTAGAATACTGTCAATAGCTTGGTCTCCGGAGCTAAGTCCTGAGATGTTGAAACTATGACTGGGTTTAATTACTCCGAAACCTCGAGAAACATCTATTAGATCTTGATCCAATCCTAGGGTTCGGTTCATCTCCTGGTTCCTTGTCAACTCCTGCTCCATCATCTGCGGGAACACGTTATGTGAGGGCTTAGAGTATGCAGGCGGGGGTGGATCTTGTTTACTAGGAGGAAGGGGAGGAACCATATCCGGGTAACGAGGAGGACAGGGTAGAATAGGAGGGCCGGGCAGTGAGGTCATGCTAGAGTCTGAGAAGGATGAGCGGGACGGTTTCTCCGGAGAAAGATCAAAAATAGATTTCTCTGTGCTTGGTTTAACTAAGGTACTCTTGGTTTGAGATTTGTGGCCCGGATAGGGGGGTGGAGCCATGCCCAGGGATCCTGGGAAAGATTGAGAGGAGGAGAAGGGTATATTCAACCCTGAATTAAATCCTGGCGGCATATTAGGCATCATATTGGTTCTCTGCATCAGTTCTCTCTGTGCCTGCTGCTCCCGGAGCTCGTTATCCCTGAGCTCCTTTCCGTCCCGCTGCTTCCCGTCCTTGAGTAGGTGTCTGGTATCCCCATGAACCTGATGATGTCTGGTGTCATTGTTGAAGGGTTGAGACTGGGTCCGGGGATGAGAACGGGTTGAGCTTGAGCTTGAACTTGAACTAGAACTAGATTGTTTGTTGTTAGGTTGAGGAGGAAAACCTGGAGGAACCTTGGTAGGTTGTGCGGATGATCCTAGAATAGTATCATATAATAAAGCTCATATTTATGTCAGCTATAGCCGGCCAAACGGCTAGACCCGAATTAGCTGATTTTATTTAAGGGAACCCGTTGCGAGGGGAAAAATAAGCAAAAAAAGGGAAAAAAATTCAAAATTCGATTCCATGGACAACGCCGAGCACTTGAGCTAGTATTATGGCAACATTTATCCACAATCGACTACAAAAGAATGGGCACTGTTAGTGTTGAGGACGGAGTAATTGAGACGCACAGATGAGAGTGTCAGTACTTTATCGAGTAAGCACAATGACGCACAAAAGTGTAACATACCTTGCAATTGGAACAAAGGGGGGGGGGGCCACAAAACGTATTACTCTCCGGAAAATTTAAACAGTGGTTAAACATAACTTAGAATTGTCGTAGGAGGCTGATTTTTTGCATGCAAACTCAGAATTATGTATATTACATGCATTTTTTGGTTTTGAAGGAATCTGAGCAAAAGTGCGCGCGCGCGCGCGNAAAGACATACCTTGCAATTTTAACAAATTTTCAACCAAAAAAGACATACCTTGCAATTTTAACAAATTTTCAACCAAAAAAGACATACCTTGCAATTTTAACAAATTTTCAACCAAAAAAGACATACCTTGCAATTTTAACAAATTTTCAACCAAAAAAGACATACCTTGCAATTTTAACAAATTTTCAACCAAAAAAGACATACCTTGCAATTTTAACAAATTTTCAACCAAAAAAGACATACCTTGCAATTTTAACAAATTTTCAACCAAAAAAGACATACCTTGCAATTTTAACAAATTTTCAACCGAAAAAGACATACCTTGCAATTTTGACAAATTTTCAACCAAAAAAGACATACCTTGCAATCTTAACAAATTTTCAACCAAAAAAGACATACCTTGCAATTTTGACAAATTTTCAACCAAAAAATTGACATACCTTGCAATTTAAACAAATTTTCAACCAAAAAATTGACATACCTTGCAATTTAAACAAATTTTTAACCAAAAAAAGACTTACCTCGCAATTTATACAAATTTTCAACCAAAAAAAGACATACCATGCAATTTTATACAAATTTTCAACCAAAAAAGACGTAAATTGTAATTTTATACAAATTTTCAACCAAAAAAAAGACATACCTCGCAATTTCAACAAATTTTCAAGCGAAAAACTGAAACGAGGACTGAAACCCCAATGCATTTTTTAATGATAACATCTTTAATCAGATCCTCAATTTACATAGTTGTATGTGCAATTCTCAATACTCATAAACGTATCCTCTCACCAAGAATGACTATGGTACTTTTGTTTTCTGTGTTAAATTGTGGGTTCTGCATAAATGTGACTTGCGCATTTCTCCATGCAGTTTCCAACGGATGTAAAATTGTGAGAACACGATTATTCTTAAACTTTCCATTAGATAAATGTTTAAAGGATACCGTTGTCCTTTTTAGATGAAGGGTCAACTAAAGTTACAACGGTAGTTCCTTTAACTAAAAGTATATGTGCTACCTGACTGCCTTGATCTATCCTGTGGTCTCTGCTGCTGCTGCTGCTGTTGTTGTTGCTGTTGCTGCTGTTGTTGTTGTTGTTGTTGCTGCTGTGGATGTCCTGAAGGTAATCTGTTGGACGGTTGATGAAGGCTAGGATGATGTTGTTGTTGTTGATGTGGTAAACTAGAATGTTGTTGTGGTATGCTAGAATGCTGTTGAATGCTAGGATGCATGCCGGGATGAAGCATGCTGTTGGAATGTCCACTTGTTTGCTTTATTTCTCCTTTTCTATGCTGAGGTGGTTGCTGTTGAACAGGTTTAAGCGCAGTCTAAATTGGAAAAATAATAATTATCATTTAAGTTATTTTATTTTTACATTTTCATAAATTCTTATCTAAAACTGGGTTAACAATATGTAAAGTTAGGTTAGGTATGGTCATTGAAATCTTAAGTACAGAACAGAATAACCAGAATGCAGGGGGGCATGTTAGTTTAGAGACTCAAATTTTGGAGCGGCTTTTCGAATAATTACCCCCCCCCCCCCAAAAAAAAAGCCACGAATTAAAAACAAGTGTTACGCTGCCCGCGGCAGAGCCTCCCCCCCCGTTGCTGAGAATTTTTTTTGGATTATAATTAAATAAAGAGGTGTTTTGGTGCCCTGAGATTTTTTTTAATCTGATTTTTTCAGTCATGAATGATTACAGTTTCATGTGTGAATCAAAACTCGGAGATACAAAATAAAATGACCTGGTCGAAATCTGTCCTGTATTGGTTGGACTGAGTGTTCTCACGTGCTCTTCTCTCCTCCTCCTCTCTTGTCTGAAATTCAAGTTTAAGGTTGAGACAGTGATACATATTTTTATTATTTTCAAATATGAGGGAGCGGGGGATCAGAAGTTGACTACAACCGACAAGTTTTTAAGTTCCTCTCAGGCCGAATTGAAAGAATTTGAGCCGCGGCTTAAATCTGCCAAAACCCGGTTTAAATTAAGCGCCGGTTTTAATCTTGAAACATTTGATACAATTTTAAGTAGAAACAACCAATATTTAAGACGCGGCTTAAATTTAAACCGCCGCTCAAATTCTTTAAGTTCGGCCACTGGATACTTAATACAAAAAAACTTTTAAAAACTTGCACGGCGAAAACTGGAGAAAAAAATCTACAAAATACATAACTAATAAGGTAAGATTAACAATAAGAATAGAAAGTAAATAATTAACAATAAGAAGAAAGTAAAACTAATATGGCGGAGAATTTAGAGCCTGAGAAAAAATAGAAAAATAACCTCGTTGTGACTTTGGAGAATCTTCTTCTTGAGTTTGGACGGACATTTCTCAAATATAGCGAGGAACTCAGCGGTCAGCTTCTTTAGCTGTTCTTGGGTCACGTCAGGGTCAACATACGAGAACCAAGTTTTACCCTGAACATTTAACAGTCAAAACTTTTGATTGTAATCACAAAAAAATTTGAATAGGTTACAAATTCACTGACAATTCGCCGAAAAACTTATCAGGGCCTGGAACTCTTTGTATAGTGGATACCGAGATCAATGTTTGATCTGGAACTTTTGGTATTCTGCAGATTAATTTATCTTCATCACATACCCCGCATGGTAAGACTACCCTGTCAGGGGGGTTGAAGGGACCTTTGATCAGGGGATGAAAATAAAGATCTTTAAATTAAAAGTGTCCAAAGTAGATATCAAGATCAAGCGATCGGGATTATGAGTATTCAACACAAAAGTTTAAAACTAAAGACCGTCAAAATTATCAATTTTTTTTTAAAGAAAACGAATCAATTTTAAAGAACAAAGTTGAAAAGGAAAAAAATATCTGCATAAACTTTGCAATTTATGATTTCAATGGGTCTTATGAAAAATAGGAAACAAAACTTTTTTTTATTAAAAATGGACGTAGGTATAATTTACCTCTCCTGATACTGGTATCTGATATTTAGACCAGATACATGCGAGATGGATACACACACAGGCAACTATGGTTGGAGGGTAGCGCAGACACATCGTCGTCAGGTGTAAGGAGTTCGTTGCCATGAAGTACGAAGTTTGGGCAAGCTCCTTCGACGCTAAAAACATGGAAGGTTAAATATCTTTTCTAATATTTTTACAATGTCGCAAATCAAGAAGAAAAATTGTATCTAACAATTTTTATGATCTTAGTAAACAAATGTGAAATGAGAATAGGACAATCACATAACAAATCTTGGGAAAGATTTATAAATTATGTTTGGTCAGCAGTTAAAAAAAAATTAACCGAAAATATATCTAACTCCTGTAAATAAGAAGAATAAAACGCCAATGCTATTTTTTAAGATAGTTAATTAAGTTATAAAGGCAGTAATTATATTTTACCTTCTTCCAAAGAAAGTGGAAAGTAAAAAATTGAAAACAGCTGATCAAAAGTCAACAAGGTGTATTGTCAGAAGGAGTCAACCTCTTACAAAGATAACAAAAATTCCAACTTTTTTCTTCAAAAAAGAAGGAATTTTTATAAAATTTTTGTAAAAGGATGGTTTCGGTAGGGAATGAAACCCTCCCAAGGAATTGACTCTATCCCTTCAAATAGAATCAACTCGATCAATTCCAATTCGAATCGAACCCTTACAATGGATATAAATGACCCATTCAAGGGGTCGAGTAGAAATATTCCTTAGGATCGACTTGACCTTTTGAAAAGATCGACTCAAACCGTTCCTAGGGACTCGAACCCATTGTAGGGACTCGAACCCTTCCTAGGGACTCGAACCCATTCTAGGGACTCGAACCCTCACCTTTGACTAACTGACAGCAACGCACAACATGAGTGTGCGGATGATCAATGGCTACATCAAAACCAAGGGTTTGAAGCAGAATATTCTCATTGCTAACCAGTTCCTGCGCCTGAACACAAAACATGAAAATAAAATCCGTTTTTGTTTTGTTCCACGAGTTAGATGAATAAAACCCATGCTAGGCTTAGAAATCCCCTCCCCGTCCAAAAACTTCCCCCATGCAGAGATATCATGAATGAGTCCACGTTGAATACGTATGGGGGGGGGGGGGAATAGTGTAGACTGTAAGGGGGGGGGGTTAAAATAAAGTTTTACTTTTAACATATGCGATTCATCATGTAACTATGCACAAAACAGTACAATTCAAGATATGCACCATCAACACAAAACTGAGTTGGTAAAAATTCTTAAATGCTTTTTCAGGATTAAATGAATGTGCTTAATAGAAAATATATTTTTTATTCTTAATTTTTTGATTTTGTTTTTACATACCATGATCTGAGATACTTTTCCTTTTTTCATTTGAAAACGCACATTTATTATATTTTTATTTTCTTGTGATTTTTTAACATTTATAAATTTTTATTAATATGGTTTTTAAGACGTTAGAACTAAAGAGGGTCGACGCCGATTAAAATATATTTTCATACAAAGATGGAACTAAAACCTATTTAACCGATTTTAAATATATTTTCAAGGTTTGTTATTTGCGATTTTCAGACTGGAACATTGTTAATTGAAAAATCTAAAGGGTTCATAAAAAGCTGAAGGGGGGGGGTACATAAAAAGCTGACCTGTTCTAAGTAATGTTCTGATTTTGAGTCCAAGGATGTATGATCTCGGAATATACAAATATGGGAAACTTTTATCACATGTTCAAGTTTACGAGGCTGCTCTTCAACCTGAAATTATAATATCATTTAATAAAATAAAAAAAAGGTTTAATAAAATGTAATTATTTGATTTAGATAAATAATGAGTTAAATATTTAGCTGGAAGCCATGAATAATGATTTAGTAAATTCAATTAATATTTGAGTATCCAATCTACATATATATATATTAAATAAATAAAATGTAATTATTTAATTAAATTCAATAAGATTTAAAAGAAGTTTTGATTTAATGAAGACAAAATTACTAATCTATATACAAAATTATATAGTTGATTTGTATGTTTGTTGTGTCCAATAATCGTAAAACGGCGGAACCAATCAGGCTCAAATCTTTGTAGTAACTTGCAAGAACCCAAGAATGATTAATGGCCCGTCAGAATGTATTTTTTTGCTTTAAAATACTCTTTTTAGGAATCGTCCAATTAAACAGAAAAATCTGCGGAATTTTTCAAAGCTTGCAGTAAAATTAGCAAAATGATAAAACATTTGCATTGTGGGGGTTATCTCAGTAAGCTTTCAAAATCAATTTTAAAGGTACAAACTTCCAACAAATCTTAAAAGCCGTAAAAGCCCATTCCATCAAAAATCGAGAGGGCATTCAAACACTTTGGCAAATATGGCCGGGGGAGGGGGGGGCGTATCCAGCAACTTAACTTGGGAATTAAGATTTGTTCCATGACCTGCCAGGATTAAGAGTATGTGCGGTGGATTATAAAGGAGTATTTAATCCTTCCCCCCCCCCCCCTGGTGGATCTTGAGGCCATAGGGGAGGGGATGAAAGAAAAGGGAGGGGAGGGGGTGAAAGAAAAGGGGTGGGATGATTTAAAACCGGTTTTCTATTCTAAACATTAGGCTATGTTATGAAAAAGAGATTTAGAATTAGAGAAAAGAACATATTTGTTTACCTTTGCAGCTAGGAAAAGAGATGCCCCGGCAATAGAGTTTCTATGAAATCTTGAGAATGAATGGAACATATAAAACCTTTGCATGTAAACAATAGCAGTATTGATGCATAGCTGAGTCCTGAAAAAAAATCAAAATTAATGGTAAGATATTTTGTCAAAAATAACTTGTGAACAAATTTTGAACCAAATAAAGATTTGGAATTTTTTTTAAAAATAATGTAACGTACGTTAAACACAGAAACAGGAACAAAACATTTATCGAGAGCCTTCATGTCCCAAATGGATCATACATTAATTACTTTAGATCAGTGTTTAGGGAGAGAAAGCAGGAATTCAACCTGCTTGCCTTTTTTTTTACCTAATTTTGTCGAAACAGAAACCATTTAGTCCCACAATTTCATGACATATAGGGTTAAAATGTATACAAATTTGAACAGTCTAGAATGCTCCACATAATAATGAAATACAAAAACAAATTAAAGAAAATTAAGCAGAAAACTGACATTTTGTTAGCTAGTTATACGGTTATCAGGCTCATTTCGTATTTATTCGATAATTAAATCCATATTTTAGCCAAATTGTGAGTAAAACAAGAATACATTTCATCACATAACGTTTACTAAGCATATTAATACTTCATATTATTTGAGCTAAGTAACGTTCGCCATGAAACTTGTTAAAATTTTCAACATTCGTGAGACTAAATTGAAGAAAAACAGAGTAAAGGAGATTTGAAAGTAGGTCGACATCTAGATGATGAAATAACGCAATTTTAAAGGTTAAAAGATGATTAAAATAATTTAAAGAAAATACGGGGGGATTAAGAAAGAGCATAATAACAAATTTATTAGCTAGTAAAACATGAAAAACTATGCGCAAAGTAAAAGACATCTAAAAAGTTTAGAAAGCGTGCCATGCTGAAATTCTTGAAGGTCAAAACTTACACTTGAAGCCGTTGTCCCATATCCTGGATAAAGTTGGCGGCCTGTTGTCTGTAGCTTTCCTCCTTGTCCGCGGAGATATTGTGCCTCCGGGACGGAGAATTCATGATTTTCTCCTCCGAAAAATACCATCGCTTCGATCCCGAAGCAGCCATCACTTCACTACCCTCTGAGTCTGAAAGCAGTCTAGGCCAGTTTCAAACACTTTCAATGAATTGAGAAAATCCCGATTTATCATTGGTTGCAACAGAATTAAAAGCGCTCTGATTGGCAAGTTCAAAATAGATAACGATCCGTGATTGGTTCAGTGGATTTCTCTTTTCTACCTGCATCGTACTTTGAAAAGTGACTACAAAGACGACATTTATAATGACCTCTATTTTTTATTAACCTTCGCTTCTCTTTCAAATAATGAACTGCATACATTCTCATATGATTTATACATAAGTACAAAATTATGAATACAAGAAGATACGACAAAACATTTTACATATATCAAACCAGCATATCATATTCCGTATGGACAAGTAAAAAGCACAGTTTTCTGCCAAAAATTAGTTGAGAACACATTTTTCCTGGAAATTTGCATTTATTTAGTTTATGTTTAAGATAAAATAGTTTGAATAAATCATGTCTCTTACTCGTCCTTTAAAACACTTAGTTGCTTCAAAAAACATATTTTTTATGATATGACGCATGACTTTCTGGAAAAACTGACGCAGTTTGCACCAGACGCATCTGGCGGTCTTGTACGCTTTTTCCGCTCTTTCATAGATTTTCTTCCGTGTTTCACAGGATAAGACGTCATTGCATAGCTCTTCAGGTTCGCTTTGATCGCATCAGGAAGTGGAAGTTTGTCAATGCCGTATCCGTTAGTCCGGCCGACGATTGCGTGGCAGCAGAGCTCTTGAAGTGTTAGGACGCGGTTTGACCGCCACAGCCGTTCCATTCCGTTCCGTTTGAGAGCCATCCTGCACAGCTCCTGAACAGTACAAAAATTATTGTTTAAAATACAAAAATAGGAAATATTAAATTCAAATGCTATGAAATGTTTCAATTTAATTTAAATCTTAAAGTGACCCTTTTCTGCTGAAAAGCGTAGCATTACGGGGACGACATGGAGCAATAAAACATCCCTGAGAAGTTCAATATCCGAAATTTTTTTTTTTTTAAATGCACATTTTAAGCTTTTTGTGAAACTTCTTTATTTCATAGTCTGTAGATAAAAGTTTGTCATTTGAAAATCTAAAAAAATACACAAATCTAACAATATACAAACTCAGAGATTAGCAATGAGGTTAATTGTATAAAATGACAGCTGATGCGCTTTGTTTAAACGATAAACAAAAGCTCTCTTTGATATTAAAAAAGGATGAAAATAACTAAGAGTAACCTGAAAGCTCTTTGTGATATTAAACAAGGATGTTAATAACTAAGAGTAACCTGAAAGCTCTCTGTGATATTAAAAAAGGATATAAATAACTAAGAGTAACCTGAAAGCTCTCTGTGATATTAAACAAGAATGAAAATTTCTAAGATTAACCTGAAAGCTCTCTGTGATATTAAACAAGGATGAAAATAACTAAGAGTAACCTGAAAGCTCTCTGTGATATTAAACAAGGATGAAAATAACTAAGA